TGCCCCAGGGCAGGTTTAGCTGGAGCTGAGGAACAATTCCTTGCCCAGAGGGTGCTCAGGCATTGGAACAGGCTGCCCAGGGCAGGGCTGGAGTCACTGTCCCTGCAAGTGTTCACAGCCCGGGTAGACGAGGCCTCAGTGCCAGGGGTCAGTGGTGGCCTTGGCAGTGCTGGGAACAGTTGGACTGGATGAACTTAAAGGTCTTTTCTGACCTGGTTGTTTCTATGATTCTCTAAGTTTAAACACATCTTAATAAGGCCTGAAAAATGCACAATTATTTTTTAAATGCTATGTATGGGACATCATGCCTAAAAGACTGGTGGATAAACTATAATATGTGTAAGTATGAATATATGTATGTATATACACGTCTACGCACAAATACATGCACCCCTGGAGTTACTTAAAAGGTGTGTAAATGTGACACTTAGGGACATCGTTTAGTGGTGGACTTGGCAGTATTAGGTTTATTGTTGGACTTGATGATCTTAAAGGTCTTTTCCAACCTAAACCATTCTATGATTCTGTGATTGAGTCCACATTGGATTTGTGGAAAACGTTTTCATCACATCCCTATACTTCGCTGCTGTTGCATATCAGAACCTGCCCAAACATAAGTTGGGGGGAATCTAATCAAGATGCCATAACCCTCTGGATTTCCTGGGACTGTCGGGAATTTCTTGCAATGTAAGCAGCTGTAGAATGGAAAAATGGAATTTGTGCTTCCTAGCAATAGAATGAAAAAGAAAAACAGAGCCTGGATGAAAACGAAGCTGCAGAATAGTATCTTTTCCATGGAATCCCCAACAGGGATGTAAAATGCTCTTCAAGCTGCTGTGATGCAAAGGGATGCGTATTCTTCCTGGAAGCATAGCTTGTGGAAGTGTGCACATCAAAGATTATGTGTGATGGAAATGACTCTTAAAGCCTAACAATTGAAAGAGCTGTTTTGCAAATTATTTTTGTGTACATACAATATTCATGTCAAACTGTCAACATAATTGACTGTGAGTTGATAGGAAAATTATGGCTTTGCTGCAAAAGCTCCGTAAGGAGGGAAAGATGGGTTCTAAATGAAGATGAATGTTGGCACAGGGGGTTCGAAAAGTTCAGTGAAGCATTTGCTCTGTGAAAGAGACACAGCAGCCAAATTCATTCCTGTCGCAGCACTGTTAACCTCAAAGGGGCCATGACACCAGGGATGAATTTGACCCACTTATCAGAATAATTTGATATTTATTTTGTTGTAAAATTGGCAGGAAAATTGTTGCAGGTGTTCATTTAACTTTCTAATTTTCAGCTTTTCATCACAATCTGTGCTGAGTGATGCCTGTCAACACAGCAAAATTATTTTCAGCAGTACAATCAATAGTACAAACACGTCCTTTGTTGAAGAAGTGCCAGGAGGGCTGAAGTTTTTCTGTGGTGCTGGTCAATTCCAGATTTAACTGCCCTATCAGGACAAGATGAAGTTTTGAATTTGAGGGGGTTGTCATGTTTATGAAGGATCTCAGGGAGAGCAGCTTAGGACAGCGGTGGTGTACCTGTAACAGTGCAGGTTTCTGTTAATACAGAGCAGAGCTCTGTGTGTATTTGGCTACTGCTAAAGAATCTCAGGGAGAGCAGTTTAGGACAGTGGTAGCGTACCTGTAACAGTGCAGGTTTCTGTTAATGCAGAGCAGAGCTCTGTGTGTATTTGGCTACTGGAATAATTACACGTTTTTGTGTTAGTTTAGTTCTGTAGAGTCCTGGATAATAGAATGCAGAATCTGCTACCTGTGTTCAGGGTTAGTAACACCCTTCTGTGCAAGGAGCCCTTTTTAATTTGTAGGACACTGCTCATGGTTTTAGGCACTCTGCAGTGTGAGCAAAGATGTTGAGAGTCCGTAGATGCTTTGTGTAATGTATTTGGCCAGTCTGCATTAAAGACCATGAGTGTAATATTAAATTCCTTGATAGGAGAACGTTCTCGGCTAATAGCAAGCCTGAGGAACCAGATATCTTAGTGGAAATTGCACTTAGATTGAGATGTATTTTCAGACTTAGCTGCCATGCCTTTAAGATACACAGGCCTGTTTCTCATTTGTTCTAAGGCGACTTCAACCAAACAGAAAAGGGGTTGTAATTTATTTCTATTTTAAGGCTCCTTTTCCTTGCCAGAAAAGTATGAAGAAGTCATTTTGTGAGGGTGAAAATATGCCTACCTACCCATTCGTATCCATCCCTTTTATTTCAAACGTATTCCTTCCTCAACTGATATTTGACTGGCAATACCATGCTAGAATTAATTTTTAATGTTCTCAGTCCAGAGATGATGGAATTATTAATTATAAATTATCCAGAAATTCCGGAATAAGAAATTCTCCTGTGGTAAAGTAAAGTTGCAAGAGAGGGTGACAGTACTGCTGGAAGGGACTAGTGTCCAAGTGATCAGCGTCTTCTGCTGGTAGGATGTTTCCAGCTGAGCTGGCATCCTGAGCACCAAACCCAGGGCTGGAACAGCTGAAGAGATCCACTATTTTGTATAACTCTTTGTAGGCAGTAGAGGAGAAGACAGGTGAGAAGGGACAACTGTGCTGCTTTCCCAAGCTATCAGCTGAGGTCCTGCTTTGGCCCTGTTTGGGGTTTAGAAGGACACTGTTACTCTGAAAGCAAAGAAAAAGTGTTTTTGAAGTTGTGGGATTTTCTTAAACCTTTTCTGACTTGCTCTGCATCATAATGGAAGTTCAAGGAGACTGTTTTCCAACCCTAGGTTGCTAGGTTAAGGTAAAACTAGAGAGAATGGTTTGTTTTTTAAGCCAGATTGGAGTTAATCAGAGCTTTGCATTCGTATACTGGTGTGCCAGGATTGGGCTGGCACAAGATCAACTTGATTTTGCTCCAGATATTGGAAATCTGACAAAGTGTCTGGCTCCCAGGATTTTCAGTCTCTCAAACAGTAGAAATGACAAGAATTAACAATGCCAGTCTCCTCTGGCATCTAAAAGGTTTTGACAAAATCAGGCCTTTCTGGTGTACAACCTATTTTGAAATCCTAAAAGCAGAGCTGGAAGAGAATTCAGAACCAAGAATTGCAAGATTTTGTTTTGGTTTAGATTTTTGGGGAAATGAAACCACAGAAGGTTCATGTAATGGTGCTTCAGAACTTGGCTTAGGTCTAAATCTGTAGTCTTGGATAAAGCATTGTAAATTTGTAGTAGGAAAGAAGAGTTCATGATCTTGGGCATGTGATCTAAGGCCTTAATGAAAACATTAACTTTGAGGAGACAAGTCTGTTATCTATCTGAACCTATGTTTTTGAAAGGGAGACCTTGTCCTATGGACACCATGAAGTGAGAAAGGTGATATTGATGATCATTAGGGAAGTGACATGAAGAATGTTCTTGTCAACCCTAGTGTTCCCATAAATAAAGTTTAACAAGATGACATAGTCATATTACAAAAGGTCTTGGATATTAAGCTTTCACTGTGCTTCAGTTGTAAAAGATTTTATAGTGCTGTAAATTATGTTATGCTCTGGACTTTGCTTTAGTATCTTAGAAACAGAGTAGAGGCGCGGGAGACATTTGATAGCTATGTATGTGTTCTGTAATCATAAATCATACTACTGTTAATGTCGAGATAGGAACATTGCAGTGTTTAAAACAACAACATGAACAAATACTTTCGTATTCCATTGACTGTTGGTCTCTCTTGGTGGAATGCAGAAGAATGTGGATTAAAACCATGTTATCTTAAAAAGATTAAATCATTCCATTAATTATTCAGATCATGAAGACTATAAAAAGTAAATCTACTGATGTTCATCTGTAAAGTCCTGCCCCAGTATCAACATTTTTATTACTTCAATTAAGTGACACTGATTTGTACCAACTGGGTGTCTGGCCCTTGAGCTAAGCCCCAGCCCTTCAGTTAACTCAGAATTTACTCAGAAATGCGTGAAATCAGCTAACACTAGTAAGTCAGATAGTTTTGTTATTCATTAAAGCTAATAGATGACCCATTATTAGGCCTGAGGGTGTGCAAGCCCAGAGAAAGGCATCATTAGCTGCTGCTGTTGAAAGTTCATTCTCGATGCTGAAAAAGCTGGAAGGTTGGACATAAAGCAAAGACACATTGTGTTTTCCTTTGTCTTAAGACAATTTGGCAGGATTATGCTGTATGTAAATATTTACAGTATAACAGTGTTTTGAAGAAAATATTCTGCAGGGTCACTATAGCAACCCGCTTAGGAAATCCTAAACCATTTAGGTTGGAAAAGGCTTTTAAGATCATTAAGTCCAACCATTCCTCCAGGAATCCTCTGAATCTGAAGCACTGAAGACGTACAGAGCTGGTTTTCTTTGCTCTGGTGCTTTCCTTTCCAAATGTTCCATCTTCTAAAGGCAAGAAGCCCAAGCAGCTTTGTATTATCACATTTAGAGGGAAGAGCCATCCCTTGGGCCC